TGAACGATGGTGCGCATGCAGAACGAAGGGGCCTGTTTTCTGGTGCGGATTGAATCAGATCATTGAACTTGTCAGTAAACTCCATCCAGGCTCTACCAATGGAATAGTCATCCGAAAGTTCCCAGATGGATTCTCCAATAAGCTTTGTTAGTAAATCCTTGTGTGATTGTCCGAAACAAGTCAGTATATCCTTGTGGATGCTCTGCATAGCACACATAGTCGTAAAAGTTTGTTACTTGATCACTCAGCCCTAGAGGACCCTCTATCACTGACTTCTCGTTCATGAGCACCAAATCAAGCACCCTGCTTTGAATCGGATGGGCGCACTTACATTTATTTTATTGCGTAGGCTCTTGAAGGTCCGCCTTGCATTGCTCACTGGGGGATGCCGGAACTTCCAGATCGTGAACATTGAAGTCACCTGAGAGGAGGACATAGCCGCATCGTCATCTCAGGATCCTTTCCAAGGCTAGTGTCAGGCGACAGTCCATCTCTGTGGTGGACATTAGGGGGACGATAAACCATGCTACATGGCAAGTATCTCGTCTCAATCGCAAATTTCACCAGATCATCATCATCATACATTGGCCGAAGGTGAGAAGCACACTTCAGCGAACTGTGCCGCAATACGAAAGAAAGCTGTATGATGTGTGTGATACTAAACATCGCATAATACTAAAAACTAAAACCAACTAAGGAAATGCTAATTTTCATATGCTACATGCGCTGTGAGATCCTTGTTGGGGGAGCGGGTGGAAGAGGAGGGACAATGAAACTCACAGCACAAATGCCACTTAGTGGGACCTTGTTCAGCGTTTCCGGATCGTCCACCGGTTCGCAGGTCATTATGGTAGTATAAAGGTATCCCACCTCCCTTGCTGGGGTGATCGTTTCGAAAGTGGCATACTATGTATCGCGACTTTGGCGTCGGTACTTTCTGAATGCAGCCTAGTCTCAGTTACGAATATGAGATCCTAGGCGTCTGGTGCTTGACGTAGCCGCAGTTCGGTGAGCTTGCTCAGGAGACCTTGTGTATTCGTGTGCATGCACGAAAGTTTATCCGATCTCATTAGTGAGTCGGGGACGTGTGTTTTTGATGTAATGTTATGCCGACCGGTGAAAGAGGTCGGCCACCAATCGTTTTTTGCATGGGACGCTGACGAATTCATTCGTGTCAGTTCCAGGGATCCTGCGATTACCCCCTTGCTCTCTGTACGCAACGTATGTGGTGTGTACACTAGTTGCCGGCCCGTGATCGAAAGAACGGGGCATCTGCTTTGCAACCCAGCGATCGCGGATTCGAGCCTGTGTAGGGGACCGGGCGGCCCTCGCGCGACAGGTGCTAATTGTGTGGTAGCGAAGGTTTGGTACGGCGTAGTGCTGATGCCTTTTTCCGACCAGCTGAATGATGTTATGTGAACCGTTGTCGGGACGTGATTCGATTAACTTGCTGCTGTTGTGTGTTTGCTCAGGGGACATTGCTTTGATCCGGAGCTCGAAAAATAAGCTGCTGCCTACCATCACTCCAATACCCTTGTTGACATTTGTCTGCATTAAAGCACTGCCTTCACAATCCTCGGGCCCCATCCTTTGTAATTTGGTGATTTGCGCAGCCTCGTGATCGATCGCGCTGGGTCGTTTTCCAAAGAGAGGGTCTCGCGAATGTAGCCCCAATACTTATGCTTTTGAATGCTCGTTTCGCGCTCATCATGTCCTTCCCACTCGGGTACACCGTATACGAGAGTTGTCTTGTCTACGGATTCCTTCCGGTATTCTTCTAAGTAGTGCCTCACTTTTTCGGGTTTTTGGAGCACCCGCCGTGTGTCTTGGATTGCGACGCGCAATCTCACTAATGGCGTCGGTTGACTTTGAAGTCAGTCTCTGCCAATACGGTCACTGGGACCGTCACCGAAGTGAAGGGTTTCGGTGTGGCAGGGATAGGATAGTGCCTCACTTTTTGACGCTCGCTCCGCGGAATATCCGGGAAGATGCGGATGATACATGACCCATTCCGGAGAAGAGCTGTCGATAACAGAACTGCTTCTGCTTCTTTAGCAAAAGTCAATACAACTCGGAAAAGTTTCGATTCACCCTGATGCTCTGAGTTTAGGTGACGGGGGACTCGTGTCAAGTTGGTGGGCTTAGGTACAATGCCTAAGATGTCACATATAAAGATCCTGTACATAGTGGCCTAACTTCGTGAGATTGGCTTCGTTTATAATCTCCTTTTCTGAGGCGTAGAGCCGTCGGAACAAACATCACCGTACCGGACAATGTATTGGCCAAATTTAAAGTCACACCATACTAGCTAGACAGCCGACAATATAGGGTAATAATGTGTCAGACATGCCGCCTCGCTTGATCGTCGGCCACATATGCATGAGCCAAAGTAGAGCAGTTGATAAGAGTGAAGCTCATAGCTGTAGTCTCACGACGATATTGTACTTTTAAGGCACCTAACATCTCCCCCTTCTAAAACACGCTGTTTGCCTGGCTCGTAGGATGAAGTGCAGGGTTCACCTGTAAACGCCAAATCGGTTGAGTTGTCTGCATGGATAGCTGAACGACTCCATGGCATGGTTCTCTGTGGGCTTCCGTCGGCTCACTGAGCTCCACAGTTTTTGTACTCCAAACTTGTCCAACAGTAAATCCAAGGGCAACTCGAGTGGGTAAGAGATTATGTGTTCGATCCATCGTTTGTGTAATTAATTAACGTGCCGAACGAAAGACAGCAGTCCGCTAGACACCTCGTATAGCACAGTGCTTTTTCGTTCGTACCACTGCAAGTTGACAAGTTTGGTGGTTCGGTCTTCTATCCAACGCGTTCACCGCTTACCCCGGAAGAAAACCGCTCACACTTGATTCCAGTAGCTGTTGCGTGACCTTAGACCGTATTGCATCAATTGGTAGATGTATCTCTGCCCGAAGATGGCTTCTGCTGAGGATCTGCCGCTTGATGCAGCGGGGTTAGCCGTAGCCCGATAAATTAGCAGGAACAGTTACATGATCTCCTCTGTCGATCTTTAGAGGTGAACATTTAAATGTATCCACGAATTTTTCCGCTTTCCCGTTGGACGAAGTGCCCCAAAGTTGACCGGTAGTGCATGATGCCATTACGCTGACAGAGAGCACTAACCTCATCGGAGATATCTTATGCACCGTTATCAGAAACCAATCTGTTTGTTAAACTGGACTGTGCAAATAACTGTTGTAATTTTCGTACTGCCTCCGTTGTCGTAGGTGTGTTCATCAGGTACACATCGGCCACTTAATATACGCATCAACCACGATTTAGAGACACTAGCCTGTCACTGGGCCATCGAAGTCAGCGTGAATTCTCTCCCAAAGCTTGGAGATTAAAATCCATGGTTGTATGATTTTGTCTGAAAGTTTCGCTGCTAAGGCACAATTGCTACATGTAGTGACACAATCATTAAAAGCGTTGTCAATAAAAAGCCTATATACGTAACTCCTGGCTGGCGTTTTCATCCGTAATGTTCAGGTATGATGTAGCTGCAGGGACTTGGGAACAACCACGCGTTCACCGAACATAACCAAGCCGTGCCACTGTGTCACGTCGACAATACAATTGGCGGTGTGTATCAGTCATCTGGTTTGACCACTTTGTTTTTAAAGACCAATAACGTTTTGCAAAAGTCTTGTTTGGTGTGCTCACGAATGCCCATAGAAGTTATCGGAAGAGCTCTGATTGAGTTATACGTCCAACTCAAGCGTAACTGACGCCATCGCTTATTCTTCTTCTAGGCTCGGCTGTTTTGCGATAACTCGCGACAGCGCATCGGCGTAGCTAATTTCTGCCGTAGGTACATGAGCTATTATAGAATTATATCCGAGCAGCAATGTCGACCAGCATTAGAGGCACTTCTCTGTGTACTCATGTATGCCTTGAACCAAAAACAGCTACTAATGGTTTATGGTCAGTCTGCAATACGAATCATCTACCCTACAACATGCGGTGAAACTTTTTGACAGTAAAAGTTAAAGCTGGTGCCTCTTTCTCCATCTGTGCGTAGTTTCTTTCAGACTTCGTCAAGGCACCTGATGCGTAGGCAACCGATCTTATGGTGCTAAGGTCGCACCGCTGATGGAGAACTGCTTCAAAACCTTGACTAGAGATATTTGCAAAGACAAGCATCTCTTCTTTTGGGTCAAAATTTGTCAGAACTGAGTTAGATTAAAGCTTTCCTAATGAATCTAAACGCTTCCTCACCTTGGAATGATCAAATCAGGGATGATTTTCACCAAGCAACTCAATCACGCACTGTAATACCTCATATTGCCTAGGAACAATTGCTAGGTAGGTATCTGGTGTTATGCAACTACTTCCTCAATGACGCGCATTTTTTAATCTCAGGTCTTAGCCCGTCACGATCGACAATGAAACCAAGGTATTTCAGTTGAGGCGCAAACAACTAACATATATCAACACTCAGAGTCAAAGCATATTCCCATAGGCGTTCGAACATCTGGGAGAGGTGTCAGCTATGCTGCATTCAGTCTAATAATGTAACAATGTGGAACTTTTAAATCACTAGATCTCCAACCCTAGCAGTTTCTCGCACAGTCGTGGAGTACATCTTTACCTGAAAGTGTTAGATCAACTTCTTTTTCTAGTGAAGCACTTATTCGTTTTTCGGTGACATTCATAATGTGCTCACCTTTGAAAAGCTGCTCAATAATGATTTGCTTTGGCCAAGTATTGTATATGTATACGTTGAAACCGTAAGTTGACCACTTAAGGGACTTGATCAAGTAGTCAACCTACAGAGGTGTTTACCGTAAGATTTTCCTGGTGAACGTTTAAGCAATGAAGAAAGGACGGTCAATTTAGAGAGGCGGTCAACTTCAGAGGTTTTATTGGATTGGTTCAAAATTTGCTATATATATATATATATATATATATATGTGACAGCCGCTTCATCTTTTAATCACTACCACGTCATTTGGCAAACCTGTGCGCATTTGCTTCTTCTTGCTAGGTCTGTGACACATATCCCACAGTTTTGTGCGTCCCTGCCACTGCAACCAAAGCCATGATGCATGCCAGTGCTCGTTTCCGAAGCCGCGGCCGGTTCCCAGTGCTTACCTACTTTCATCCGAATGGTAAGGTGAGATACAACGTTTTCCACTTTGCTCCTCTCTCATTTCATGAAGTGATTGTTTGTTTTGTTCCCTGATCATGTGTGTCTAAGTTGCACGAATAGGGTTTCCATGGCAATCAGGTCATGAAACCTGTCTCTTATTTCGTTTCGGAGTTACTGCAAATGACTGGGATAAACAATTAAGTCTTCTTCCTTCAGCTCCTCCATGACTGCAGCGAGAATTGGGAACTGTGAAAATTTTCCTACGTTTTGAGCGATAACGGCTTCTTTGTTCAAGATGAGACTACTCAAATTACTTTGAAGGATTTTCTTTAATAAGTTGAGTTTTTCACAAACATCAGCCAGATAAAACATGTCTGGCATGGATGTTAACAGTTCTCTAGCATACTTAATTCCATAAAGGAATGCGATGTCGGTGATCCCGGTGTGCAACATAAAGGCGAAGGCAGTTGCCCTTGAATAGTCATCTAACTTCTGTATTCAAAATAGCAGAGCATGGAAATCCTCACTGTTCTCCTCACACAACTGCCGGAACAGAAGATCTTGAAGTGGGTTCACTTTGGTATTGTTGTCTACTATTATAACGGTTGACATTGAATCGTTTAGGTGTCCTCCCAAATTCTTAGCCAGTAAGTGCTCTGGATGAATCACACAGTGAGCAGAAGGGAGAACGCTTTTTCTTAATTGACAATCCGTACTTTATATCTTTTGATCATTGCAACAGCACCATCTGTTGCACATGCAACTAGGTCTGCGTTGGGATAGCGTTTACAGTCAGATAGCTATTGACTGTCTGCAATATAGGCTGATCTTTCGTATAAGTTTCGATTCTCCTAGCAGACAGCATTTCTTCCACTAATTCATTGTCATTGAAGTATCGGACATATGCCGCGAGACGAATGTCGTTGTTAAGTAGTGTAGATTCATTTAATTGTCAAGAAAAGTTTTCTGGATTGTAGTAGAGTAATTAAGGTACTTTTTATCTCCTGAACCATCTCAGCTATTCGACTCGATTTAATTGAGTTGCTCAGCGGTATGGCTTGAACTTATGGTTTTATATTCATCAGGTCAGACAGTGTTATTGATACGGAATGCATGATCTTTTCTCCAACATTATGTGGACTGCAGCTTTTGGCAATCAATTTGCTGATTTTCTAAGACGCCCTAAGTCCATTCGCCATTTTTGTCCCGTCAGAAACTATTATCTTCAAAGTTAGTCTAATTTCGATAATATCCCGCAGCGTTCCGCAAAATTCCACAAACTTACCACCTTCGTCCCTATGAACCCATTCCAAATGATTTTTCCATTTACTTGGTCGCATACTTTCATTTGAAAGAGCACTTTGGCAAAAGAAACACAGTAGAGTGGGGTTTTGAGATGATGCGATGAATACAAATGACAGGTATTCCACGGAGTACTGCCGACACAACTTCTTTGCCGAGGAGATCTTTTCTGAAATATCTCATCGTAAATTGTTAATATGTAATCTATATATAATGCTTCTGTTTTGGTTCGCTTACTCAATTACATCATGGGTATTAAATAACGTCATTCGATAAAGCGAAGCATGTAGTTAGTGTGAAGAATTGATGGCACTAAATTTCTTCTTGCTTGACGGTGAGATTGCAAAACATTTGGTCAGCATACTTGTAACATCTCTTGGTGGCTACGATGTCAAAATGTAAAAGTGTAGAAACACTGTTAGAGGCAACCTAAACTTCGTTTCTGAGGATGACTTTGAAAATGCCGTGGCTAGCTAAATGGACTGGAGAAAACTTCTTAACAGAAGCCAATAAAGAAAACAAATGGAACTAAGAAAATGACAGTGCTCACTGAACACACATTGCATTGCAGAAAAGTTGTAGGCAGCAGTCCCAACAGGTAAAATATAGAACAGAAGTGACAAACATGCATGAAAATGCCGGATAGTTTAAGAAACCGTCGCGGGAGAGTCAACAACGCAACCACTAAGTACATCGGCTATTACCAAACAATGCGCCCAATGCGTACTGGTAAGGCATTTGATTAATATGAGTATTAGGAGAAGTATCTTTGTGTACACATTACGTCATATATACTCGCCAAAGAAACCGGATGTCCACATGTATGATGCAACTTGAAAAAACTGCTCGTTGCTTTGAAAACTTCAGCTAAACTGAGTCTTAAGAAAGAGTTATAGCGCGTCAATAGCTATTTCCACTCTTAGTCAGAACTAGCAAACCTTCTTCATAGCTATTACGCCACGTGCGCAGGGTGGCCACTCGAATTCGGAACGTTGCGGGCTAACGAGACCTAGCCACCAGACATGCACGTGACCAGAGACTGGAGATGGAAAATGCGCAACCTCGCGCTACCGCACTGAGACCCAACGAGAAAGGAAGACGGACCGGCACATGAGTTGTCACACAGTGTAGTATTCTGAGGAAAACAGTTAGTGTCAGTGTGGCTTTTTGCGGTGACTGCCGCAGCGCTCTGACGAGAGTTCACTAGGATCGTTGTAGCTTGCACAGTACATGCATTAGCGTCCAAAGTGAAGCTCAGTTGGTTCACAGTGTCAGCTCCGCAGCCGATAGTCTGCCTGGTCTGGCTTCCACACCTTCGTAAACAACCACTTGCGCGCGCGTAATTCATTTCACTGACCGGTAGTTACCATAGTAGGTGTGCAAAGAGAAACTATCGGAAATATTTAACAATGGATTTTGTTATTTGTGTTATCACAACACACTTCACCATATGGCCCCCTATGCCCCTAAAAATATTTCTCATCGCAGGGCCCCCTGGAATTTTCTATTGCCCCGGTTGAGAATGTCTGGTCTAGACTACTGCAAATGCACCCATCGGAATATCTAAACCTTGAATTGACTTGACTCAGCTTGGAGCCACGGTGTTCACCAGCTCATTACAACTGTCTCAGTTTATTTGACCTGACTTCGTCCCACCTGGCTATCAAAGACGGTAAGTGCATCCCAATTAACATGGATAGTGGACTGGAAAACGACGCAGCAATGTGATGGACCTACGCTTTTGTTAGTGATACGTCCACGGGCTTCTGTACAAAGCGGTACGTTTCAGTACCCCCAGCCCTAACTATTCCACATTGCAGCCACTTTCCAGCCGCCACATGCATTCCCGCGAACACTTGTGACCTAGCTACCTCCACTCTCTATAGCCACTCCTTTGATGCGATTTGACTAAACTGGGCTCCACATATCCTCAGGAGTAGCAACACACGATCGTTTCGCTCCTACAAATGTGCATGCTTCCTTTGTTTTGTGATTAGCCAAATTGCATCCTTTATCTAAAATTACTCAAACCATTGTGAACTCAGGTCGGCTAATCGGTTGTTCATACGCTAACGGAGCTTGTTAATCGTGTTGAAAATATTTTCACACACCGAAAATGATAGCAACACCAATGCGCAGCACTAGATATTACCCCCTAGGAATGCTGGCTTTCGTATACATTTTTCGCTTTAATTACCGTAGATCATCTTGATTGGTTAAACATTTGGGATCTCCAGTAGACTTAAACGGTTGTAGTCAGTCGTGGATCTTGTCACAATTCTATTGGTTCATTATGCGCATGCTCCGTGGAAAATGCCTCCTGGGCTTCTTTCTTTGCCTGCTCTTTTCTTGGCATCCTTTGTATTTTTTGAAGTGGGTTGTTACTTCTGCGTCACTATGGGTGCTCGCGCCACAGATTGCCATGCACCTCCCTTTTACGACACAGTTTACAGTTGGCTAGAAGGTGCTCGCGCGACATTCTTTGGGATCTATCTTCACGCATCGCGTTCTTTTTCTCCAAATGCGACCCCGCACCAGATTGACTTAAACGAGGTGCGATGGTTTCATGCCCCAACGATCCACCGAGCTATGCTGGATGGTGCATTTTTGCTCCTTCAGGGATACTCATACCATGTTGGTCAATTGTTATAGGCCAAACAAACTCCGTCCCCTGGCCCTTAAGGTAGAGGGTGACTACTTACTCCATAAAACCAACTCTCTGTAGCCCAGTACCAAAACCCCGTTGCCTTGTTATCAGGCTCTTTAACCAATGTTTTGGTTGAGTATCGTAATCGTCTTCCTGTCTAGGCCTGGGTTACCTGCGAGTCTCCAATTTATTGTTGCTCTGGCCGTCGTAGAGCATAATCAACGGCATCCCATCTGCTGCATCGAGCAGGGTTAATGGGGGTGAGGATGCTACCGCTCAGAACTTCCCCTCTTCCTATATTTCACCCTTCGCTTTTTCCTTCTTTTTCCCCCTGTTTCAACTCCGTAATTCTTAGCCTTCTTTCATCTTGATTCAAGAGCCGTCTGCCCTCTAGTTTCGATTCACAGTTAATGGTAGGATGTCGCTCCAGCTCAGTTAACAAGTCCATCTTTAACCAAGCGGACAATGTCAATTCATTCATTTCTCTTTGGAGCCCTTGTTCCTCCATAAGACTGGCATGTCTCAACATGCGCACGTTGCCTCAGGTTTGCCAACAGACATCACCTACACTAACACACAAGACCTTATTGACTGATGTCTGCTATTTATCGGAAACTCGCCCTCAAAATTCAAGCTCTGTGCTTGCCCCTGCGATGCCGCACAGGCGACACTGGCAGTACTTGGTCATTGTACTGATGAGTAGTGGTGAGAATTTTGGTATACTTCATCTAATTCATCATAATCACTCCCATTCAGCAGGCTTACGCTAGTCTGGGAAAGCACCCGACGCCGACGTTCTGGGTCTCGTCAGTGGTGCGCCTCCCAGCGGACCCCTGCCTGGTTCCGCCCCCATGACTTCAGGATGCCAGCAGCTAGTGCCACTTCGCCATGGGTGACAGCCGCGAACCTGCGTGATTAATACTTGACGGAACCCGGCAAGGGTCCGCTGGGAGGCGTACCACTGACGAGACCCAGAAGGTCGGAGCGCCGGCGTCTGGTGCTTTTCCGGACTAGTCTAAGCCTGCTGATTGGGAGTGACTATGATGAATTAGCTGAACTACTTCATTGTGTTTGT